TTGTTCTATAACATTTACAAAACTACTGTACAAAGCATTTTCATGTGCCATTCTGATCTCAATCTTCTAATGCTCTTGCATATATCGGAAGGTATTTTTCACTAAAATTTGTTGATAAGGTCTTATACAAGATGTAAGAAACTGAAAGCATCACATGATGTCTTTCGACCTTCTTCGAAGGTCTTCATTAGACACATAATAAAAGAAACGTAAGAGTGAAAGTAACAAACAACATGTTTCGACCTTGTTTCTGGTCCTTCATTAACTATATTGTAAAATATAAGAGATTGAAAGTCAACCTTGTTGTTACGGTTTCTTTCTTTCCTTTCTGTCCTAGATATATATCGGCTTGAGCAAGCGTAACGCGATGACGTTTTGGCCGCAGTTTTATTAATTTTTCTCAACACTCAGATTGCTCAGAGGATTTCTTCTTTCGTTGTAAGATGCATCTCTACCTTCTGCAAAATCCCTGAGAGTATGAGCTCACTTGAGCGAGTGGTTTGAAAACTATAGCAAAAATACATGGCGTAACGCGATGACGAGGAAGGGACAAAAAGTTGAGGGTGACATGGTTGTTTTCTCTGCGAATGTTTACGGTATTCAAAGAAACGTTCTATGCATATTTTGTAGCCAACAGTTGGAGGTATCCAACAGAGCAAAAGCTTCTTCGAACAGACTTCTTATTTTGAATAGGGATCAGTTTGATTAACGTAACGCGATTACGGTCTCGTAACGCGATGATGATGACTTTTGCAACGACTTCTTTTTCATGGTTCATTTGATTATGTGTACACCTCTGTAAAGACAAGATACTATTTTTATTTTACACTTAGAATGTGCACATGTGAGACGTTGTGTTTATTGATTCCTCTAGTACAAAAAGAAATCATAAAAACAATAAATCAGTTTGACTAATAGAGATACCCATATATTTATATAGTGGGAAAAACTCAAAATTTCAGTTAACACTTTTTCTTCATAATTTATATATCGTTCGATAGAACTCAAAAAACTATCTAAGAAAATTTATTTTTCAATTCATTTTCCTATTTTATAAATATTAAAAACCTCGAAATACTAAGATCATTTTATACGAAATCGCCCTAGTGACAGTATGATCTCGGTCTTTTAAGTTTTTTAAACCTTATAAAATAGGAAAATTACTTTAAAAGTACATTTACTTTCACAGTTTTTTGAGGTCTATCCAACCATATATAAATCATGGAGAAAAAGTGTTAACTGAAATTTTGAGTGCTTCCCACCTTACGCATATATCATAGAAATGATAAATAATTTAGATTGATAATTTCATTCTAACTGAACGCAATCAACTTATTAAATCAATCAGCTATACTGTTATGGCAATCTGTTAGTAATTAATAAAGAATACATTAAATATAGTTTATAGTGGTTTTTGCCTAAGAAACTACTATATGGAAATATTTTTTTTCATAGATATAAAAAATACAAAAACATCATCGCGTTACGTAAAATTATTATAAAACGGAATCTGTCTCTGGGAAAAATAGGTGTATTGGATAGCTCATAAAAAACCAGCCTTAGATATATATTTTTTGTCAAAAAAAAATAAAGACCGACAAATGAAAAAAAACAACATTTGAGAAGCAGAAACCAACTAATGTATGACTGAGCGAATTAATAGGATTACTGATTAGAGAGCACCAGTTTATTTGTCATTATATTAACCACTAACTTAATCGGGAGATTTAAATCAAAACAAAGCAAAAATTGAAGTTTGTATATTTATTTCAAAATTTATGAAAATTCATTAATTGTATTTGTCTTGTTTTTTAGCCATTTCCATTTTTAGATGCCTGTGTTACGCTATGGTCTCTAGCAACGATTGCCAAAAGATAGATTGCATCAGGAAACTTATCGGAAAACACCTTTAATTCATATTTGTTTGCCCAAACCAATGAAATGAGTTTCATCTCATACTCAGCCAAAAGAGTGCTGTCACTTTCATCACGAAATTCCCTTTTTCCAAAACTTTTAGAGTGTCCCATCACCAAGCGTTGTCCATTCCATTCAATTATATATTTTCCATTCAACTTCTCGTGAATTGTTCCTTCTATCCATTGATTGGAACGAGGATCGAAAATGGATATTGTTCCTTTATAGAGAAACAATTTAAGTTTCTTGTTTAGTTTACCGACGACTTGTTTCAATGGATAAGCAACAAGTTCCACGCTCTGCATAAAAGTAAGTCGAGACTCAATACGATATTGAAGTTGTTTTTCCATGGAGTCAAAAATTGAAAATTCGCCAGCCTTAATTGGATTTAACAGGTCTTTTTGAATAATATAAGATCGAACTGCAGTTTGTGGATTGACAAAAGCGAATAGGGCATTTATCAGTAGTAAAACGAATGGAAAGCAACGAATCGACATTATACTATATTGCTTTGTAAATCAATATAAGTGAAACCAATTTATATTCCAGTTCTTCTATTAATAATATTCTTTTCAGACACAAATTGCTTATTCATCATCCAGGATTCTTGTGTCAATATCAGTAATTCAAGTTGAAGATAAATGAAAAAAAACTACAGGATTGAAAGAGCAGACACTATGTATGCGTATATTTCATTGTAAGATTGAATGGAGAATCTTCATCTTCAAGAAAATAAATGAGATGGGCGTGAAAGTAATGAAATTATTCTTTTGCTCTGGGTAAAAATGCAAAATGTCATCCTAATCTAATATCCGAACAATGAAAACTTATTGAAACAAAAATAGCAATTAATTATAGTAACTTTTCAGATAAATACATTTCATTTTCCATAAACACAAGACAAGGCTGAAGTTCTCTGATTATGTTATATTCTAAATGTGTGAAGTAAAAGTCACATGAGATTACTCTTCACGCTTTGATAAATCTACTATTGATATATGAATTAGTGGTAGAATTTGCATCGAATTTCTCTACCAAAACAGAAGACTCTTATATGCTTGTTTCACCATAAAATATTTAAAGCAACTCCTGAGAGCTGACTTTGCTACTTTTTGTTACGTTTTAGGAAGATTGTATTATTCTTCATTTGTAAACATTTTTCTCTTCCTTGGTTCATTATTAATTAGATCTAATATACAGGGGGGTGCAAAAGTCACTTAACTCAAAAAAAAATGAATATCTCCTTTATAGCTCAAGCAAATGAGCTGATTTTTTTATCGATGATAGAGACATGTTCAAAGTTTATATCCAAAAAGAAATGCCTAGAGAGACTCTTTGTTAAGTATCACTATTGACCTCAACAAGAAAAATTTACTTTTTCACAGTTAGAGAAAAAAGTCATTTTGCCAAAAAAAATTAAATATCTACACTATGGCTCGAGCTAATGAGTTGATTCTTTTATCAACGATAGAGACATATTCAAGCTTTATATTCATAGAGACGTGCCTAGAGATATCCTTTGTTAAGTATATTGTTTTCTAACCTACCTGTGATAAAATAATTTTTTTTGTTGTTGATATCATTAGTGGTACTTTATAAAGGTTCTCTCTAATCGTGTCCATATGGATTTAAAGTGTGAACATGCTTCTATTATTGGTAAAAAAATCAGTTCGTTTGCTTGAGCCATAGAGGAGATATTTAATTTTTTTCTTGGTATCGTGACTTTTGAGCCATACAGAGGGTGACCCAAAAGTCAGTTTACCAAAATAAAAATTGAATATCTCCATTATGGCTCGAGCAAACTAGCTGATATTTTTACCAATAATAGAGGAATGTTCAAGCTTCATATTCATAAAGACATGCCAAGGGAGATCCTCTGTTAAGTATATTGTTGTTTTTTCTATCTGTGAAAAAGTAAAATTTTTCTTGTTGAGGTCAATAGTGATACTTAACAAAGAGTCTCTCTAGGCATTTCTTTATGGATATAAACTTTGAACATGCCTCTATCATTCGTAAAAAATTCAGCTCATTTGCTTGAACTATAAAGGAGATATTCAATTTTTTTTTGAGTTAAGTGACTTTTGCACCCCCCTGTATAAATTGTTGTTTTTATTTGTTTATTATTGATTATTTATTTTATCATTCACAACTATATTGACAACTTATAAAATGCAATATTACATATGAAATATGTACAACATATAAAAATACGATTTACATATAGCATATCAAATATATGCTATATAGAATTGTTGAATAAATAGCGATAAGTTAAAATACAACAATATAACATAATAATAATAATAAATATATAACAATATCTGTTCTATTAATGTTTCGAACGTAATATGTTTTGCTACACCCTTGATGTGAGACATACGTTTGAAAAGGAGGCAGAGAAGTTGTAAAAGTCTTTTTATTGTTGATATGTAATATCGAACGTCTTTTTCATTCAAAGTTCATCCGAAAAACAAAATTTTTCCATGTTTCTTTGAAGGTCAGACATTGTTCTTTAAAGATAAAAAAAATGGGATTCTCTATGGTGTTTCTGAACGGAAAATCATGAATTGAGAAGATATCGGCAATTACTTTTGCATCGGAGGTGAATTGAGTAAAAGTAGTATTATTTTTTTAATTCCAGATGAGGGTGTGAGTGTTAGATATGGATGTGAACATGAGGTGTCGATTTTGGTGTAGATCTCTACTTCAACTAATTACCCACACCCAAGATTTCCTATCTTATCTGTTTGTGGGCTTTATTTTGATGAATTAAATGACACTTATTTCTAATCTCTACTTTTTATGTCTTAACATTCCTAATGCAAATGAATATATCATTCAATACTTAGCAATGACTATCGATTTAGACACACTCATTGATAACTATTTAATGGAATGTACAGCGGACACAATATTTTCTGGTAGTGGAAATTACAATAAATTATTATTCATCATGATTTGGAGTTCTAGATTCATGCTAATGTATTCAAAATAAGAGACAAATTTTTATGTGCACAATAATTTCATAAAAGAAAAGTTAAATTAGCGTGTGATTGTTCAATTTATTGTTTTTGATGATGACAGCATTAAAGACTTTTATAGAACTGATAATTCCCAATTTTTCGTAATCGAAGACAGTTTTGAGTCCACGGTGGATAACCTTCTTTGGCTGGGTGATTGTAATGATTTGCTCCTCCAGTCGGATCCTGAGACTGATTTGCATAAAAAATATCATTGGCCAATTGAGAGATTCGTGCATATGCTTCCGGTTCATTAATTTCAATGTTAGATCTACCATTCCAACATTCGAATTGACCAGGTTGTAAACATACACCTTTGATGGTGTTTCCACCCCAATACGATCTGTTCAATAGAGCTCGATTCTTGATTACCCAAGCAACCCATGTTTGTGCTTCATAAGGCTCACCTCTTGCTTCTGCGTAAATTGTTGCTGTGAAAACTTCTATTTCAGTAAGAGTGATCACATTCTACAGGCAGAAATGTGCGTCGACATACATAAAATCATGAAAAATTCAATTTTGGATTATACTTACAAGTATTTTGCTGTTTATGGCAATACTAAATCCTACAATATACGAAATATAACTAACCAATTGGTTTACTTTAAACAGCTATATTGATAACGAAAAATAATTGGAATTTTTTACATATATGTCTCATTTTTGAGTTGAGTACTATCATTTTCTGTATGATACATAGTTGGTTTTCTCCTTCTTAGTAAAATGATAAGGAATGTTCTGATAAATAACTATTATTCAGAGCTCTGGTATCATGTTTTTCATTAAGAAAAAGTAATAGAGCAAGAAGGGGCCAATGTATAAAGTAAATCAGTGGATGTGGGTGTATAGGAATAGCTGATATTTACATACACTCACATCCATACTCTACATTTACCCTGTTTGGATCAAATGTATAATCACACTGATGTTGCTGGAGGAAATGTATAATCTCAGTCCTCTTTGACATATTTTTTGAAACTTCACTTTTGAGCGATTGATACTTGTTCTTTCTTCTGGTTTTTTTTACCAATCGATAGCTCAAAATATTCTGTATCATTCTAAACTAATTTTTAGGCTATATCTTAGGACTATCTTTGTTTTATAAAGCTTAAAAAAGGCCTTTAAACAAATATAAGTATACATTTACCCCATATGGGGTAATGGTATAATTACCTTTGGGCTTCTGAGGTAAATGTAGGATCTCAGCAGATTTTTCAGGACACACTAAAACTGAAATTTTAATAAATCTATCAGAATATACAAGCGTTCTCAACAGCAAAATTGTTCAAAATGATGAACTTAAGAAAAAATAAAGTATTTAAAAAATCAATTTTAAATTTTCATTTGTATTTTTATCTGTTATACGTGAGTGATAGACTAAGGGTATGGGTAGAGATGTTTGTAGATAAATTGAAATTTTACACCTGTACCCACATCCACACCCTTTTGACGTGTTATACATTACCCCCGGGCGGCTGAAATTTGCCGTGGTTTGCAGGCTTCTCATTATTTAATGGTAATTCATCGCGTTTCACTGGTTTCTCATCGAGTTGCGGTAATATAGCATATTGTGCTGGCTTCTCGTCGAATTCTGATACTTTATCATGTTGTTCTAAGTTTTCATCGATTGTTGATAATTCGTCGCGCTCTGCAGGCTTCTCATCAATTGGTATTAATTCATCATGTTCTGCTGATTTCTCATCGACTTGGGGTAGTTTGACACGTTGTGCTGGCTTCTCGTCGAATTCTGATACTTTATCATGTTGTTCTAAGTTTTCATCGATGGTTGTTAATTCGTTCTGTTGTGCTGATTTCTCATCGGCTTGTGGTGATTTTTCTTGTCCTGATAGCTTCGTATGAATTCGTGAGAAATTGTTCTGTTGTAAGGGCTTCTGATCGATTTGTTGTAATAACCTATCTAGTAGTTGTCTAGGTAGAAAATCTTCTAACTGTGCTGGTTCGTACTTGTATTCTTCTTCGATAAATGCTGTGTTTTGTTTTCTATAATAAAAAGAAAATGAAAGCGCATTTCAAAATGAATGAGTGCGGCAGAAGTAGCTGGCTAAGATTTTTTTGTTTTTTCGTGTTTCAAATTCATATATTTTTAAGATAAGTAGGTTTGAGTTTACTCAATAGAGAAGTCAATCATTTCTCAATGTTGAAATGAGCAGTTGAGTTGTTTTTTTTTAGAATTGAGATCCTCATTGGATGGCACCATAATAGTAATTGTCACTGGAACAATCTGATTTTCGAAAATATTATTTGGCGAAATCTATGCAAAAATTACAACTAGATGTCATTTGGCAACTTATCTTGTTGTGAGTAATGGCACTACGAATATAGAAGAGATCTTAGTGATATTGTATATAGCACACTTTCGAAGAATATTTGCATTCTATTTAGATAGAGCTTGTTGAGAAATTTATTTTTTATGGATATTTGTGACAAAAAAAGAAGATCCACATATTTTTAGATAACTTTAGTATTGAATTCATTTTTTTCAAAGTTTGTACAGGTCGTTCGCATATTATTCAATAGAACAGCAATAGAACGACAAATATTGCTACTTAATTTGAAGTTATTTGAATTTCCTAATTAGCTCATAACACAAAAAATATTTGAAAATCAAGTAACCCTTAGTAATTCATACTTAACGAATCGAATATGAGTTGTCAATGTATTATAGATTTTTATTTTCTATTGAATGAGATACTTAGAAATCGAGGATAAATATAGCACTAGACAGAAGTGTAAAGCTCCACATTTTCGTATCATAGAATTTTAAAGCGAAGTTAAGTATTAATCCAGAAACTTGAACAGAATGGTTCATATGTTAAGTCGAAGTACAAAATCAGAAAAATTTGAAATCAGACATGTAAATGGATTCACAAATGAACAAAACTTAGCGTCATCGTTATTTAGTATAGTACAGACTTTTAAAATAAGACCGAGTACACTTTTCGATGATGTCTAAAAACAGAGATTCGGCACTTATAAAACTTCTGTCAGATACAGCTTGAAGGTGCTGCTAATTCGTTTGCCAATTCATCGCAGTTCTGTATTAATATAAGAATAAAAATCAGTAGTTTCACGTGTCCAGACTTTCAGAAAAATGGTTCAGGGGCCGTTTTGAAAACCTACTTGTCAAGAATCCTGTACTTGCGCAGCATTTTATGTTTTAAATGCCATTGAAAAATTCAAAAATTCAAACATGATATGTTATCAACAAGGTTTCTATCATTATGATTAACTAAAAAAAAACATCAATTTTCATATATGAAATACATGGTTTTGTTCAGTTTTGGATTTCAAATTTGTTCTGATTTTGAAAATCAACTTGAGATTTAGATCAATAATTTGAAATTTCCGAATAGATCTGTTTCGTCCTAGACGAAGAGATGACGAAGTGTTTAGCAAGTTTGTTAGTGAATCAGTGAAATGCTAACTTTTTCTCATTATACACGAAATGCATTCATTGAATCAATCAAATTCGAAATTAGTTTCAATTTACAACAGTCAATCCGGACTCATAAGATTTTTGTATATCAGAAATTAATTTCAAACTCAAGTCGACACAATATTGAAACTAAAAAATTGAATGTAAATCTGAAGAAATTTAATATAAGATTGAATTCAAAATCGAATTCAAATACACATAATCAATTGAGAAAAAAAGTTTCTCAGTGCGGCTCTAAATGGGACTTAAATATGAAATTCACACAATATTTCGGTTCCAACGAAGCAGAGCAGAGTGAATTTTGAGTTTTTGGCCTTTGTTTGGTTTTTCAGACCTACCAACTAATTATATTTTTTCTGAAACACGACTATACTCGATTGTTTCGATTTTTGGACTGCACAGCTTGCATTTTAAGGTAAATATCAAAAAGATATTCCAAAGTATTTACACATATAAATATGTATTTATACATTTCAATAAAATTATTTAAAAACGATCGATATCTATCATTAAGACTGCGTGGAAAGAAGGCGTGAAGAACGAAACATTTTTGGCTAAAAGCTTATCTTTACTAAATTTTATTGTGAGCTCCACAAAATCAATATAAACCAAAGCAAAACGTTTAACCAACATTAAAACCAAATGAAACTGTCTGTTACGATTTGTGAAATCGACCGACTTACCTTTTGTATTCGACGACAGGGCTTACAAAGTCACATTACAAGAACGAGAATTTGATTGTTACAGACTTTGAGTTCGAAGACTACTTGAACTGAGAAACATATAAATTCGAATTCAAAAAATAGTTTGACATAAGTATAAATTAAAATGTTTTTAATTAAAATTATTTTAGAAACTAGGAAATATCCATTGTTCGAAAATTAAGAAAAAAAAAATATCAACATATCCTGAAATCTAAAAGATTCGAAAGTAGAAAGAGCCTAAAAGCGTTTTTTCTCATGGTTTTTTGACATTAATGACACTACTTTGAGCTTGATAAGAAAAATGCCAACAGAGTTGTCATTTACTGTTCGATAGCTGATCAACTTTCTCACAAAATATTTCAGCACACGTTAAAAATCGTGTTCGGCCGAATTTGAAAGAACGCTTGAAAGTAATAAAGAAAATCTCAAATGTTAAAATAATGCAAGATCATCCTATGAGAATATAAAGAAAACTATAGTTAGTGTTTCTCATTCTAGTAGCAGTAACAAAAGGTGAATATTTTTTTACTATCTTGGAAATAGATATCAATAAAGGGTCGCGTGATAGATACTTTGTCGACAGTTTAAGTGACTTTTCACTTCAGGTTTTTCTAAATAAACTTCAAGTCGATTTTATTGAGTTCAAGCTTGTCATAGAATCATTTGATAAGAAAAAATGTTCGATTTCAGTTAATACAAGTCAAATTTTAATTAGATTCGTTCATTTTGAAATTCTAAGCATTTTTCGAAGAGCTCCAATGTTCGTTTATTAATATCAAACTCCTCAATTTCGAAACAAAAATCATCATGCATCACTACTTGACTTGATGTGACTAATCATTCTAAACATGATCAATTTTTGAATAATGTGATTGACATCGAAGATCTCTAATAAATGCTTATAACTTCAGAACAGATCAATCTAATAAGATTCGGTATGAAAAGTCATCCAGTTTAGTCCATTGTTAACATAGTTTTATTCTCTCACATTCCTATTTGGCATCCATATTAATTTGACTTACTTCATTTGATTAATATTATCTTGAATTAACTTCTGAATATTAATATTGTGGTTGCTTGTTTGGGAATAACACCAATAATATATATCAGCAGCTTTATGGTAGAATGTTAGAGCCAATTTCAATTTTTTGTCTTCTTGATAAATTCTACCAATTTCTTCATATATAGAGCCCACTTGAGAATCATTCGATATGGGAAACTTTTTACACATCAATAGTATTGTATATTGGCATGCATACGCTTTGTTGAACTCATGTTTAAGACGAAAAATTTCACCGATATTTTTCAGCAGTGGAATAATTATGAACGGTACATATCTCCATTGTTTACGTATATTTTTCGAAATCCAATTATCTAACTCATTTATTGCATTTGTAAAGGATTTTAATGCTTTTTCATAATCCTTATCTATTTGAGAAGTTTGATAATATTTTCCAATACCTGTATAACATTCAATAATATCTAGTATGAAGTCTTTATGATTTTTATTAAACATGGACAATGCTAATTTGTAGTATTCAAATGCTTTCGATTTATCATTCTTTGAAAAGTAGATATTGGCTAATGCACATGTGACTCTTGCTCTTAGTAAAGTATCAACTTGATTTTCAAATGCTTCATTATAATATTTTTCTGCGTCATCGATTTCACCTTTCTTTTGTGCTAGATTGCCCAAACTATATTTACAATATTTTTCCAATGGATGATTATCTGGCAAATATTTAATTAATGATTCATAATATTTTTTAGCTTCATTTAATTTACCGGTTTGAATCATCATAAGACCAAGTGAGATTTGATTTGTTTTTAAATTTTCATTGCTAATCCAAAATTGAACAATCTCATCGAATTCAGATATAATATTAAATGGTGCTAGCTCTAATTGGATATAATATAAGTTTTGGTCCTGATGCGATATGGAACGATGTATAATTTTGAATATTGTACCTGGTGGGAACAAAATTCTATTTTCACTCTGGTAATAGTAAAGATTATCGATTGCTTGAAAGTTTTCGTGTTCCATGTGAAAGCTTTGAAGCATTTTTACTGTGAAATGAACTATTCTGAAATCTCTTGATAACATAGGGGTAACAGGCCGAGTTAAAGGGGCTGTTGTATTGTTGTTATCTAGACTCATTGACCAAAAGACATTGATTGATACTAAATGTCTTTTTGAATTAATTATTTCTTCAATTTGATTAAATGGAATCAACTTAGTACCATAAAACGTTTGGTATGAATCATCTGTTCTTTCATTTCGGTGTGTCATTCTATAATTCGATTTGATCTGTTCAAATAGATCAAATATGAAAAATCGAAAAAGACCTATGAGTTCGAAATCTTTTTGACGTAAAGCTTTATTTAGTATTTCTCGTATCGATTTCATTTTATCATAAGATTTGATTGGATTTTCTGTATTATAATCCTTGTTAAAGTCCTCAATCTCGTTCAAAGCTTCAATATCATAGCTGTAGAGTGTTCGAAGTTTTATAATAAGTTCTTCTTTTTCATGTTCTGCTGTCACAGTGGATAATACTGGATCCATACGAAAGAATATTATAGCAAAATTATACATCCATATGAAACGATCATTTGATTCTATTTCATTTATAGCACGTATATATCCTTCTGATTTGTAAATATTTAAAAATTGGCGTTTATCCAAATGTTCGTGATATTGACTTTGTTCATAGCGAAATATCGGAAGTAAATCATCCATCTTCGCAATATACTTGTGCTGTACCTATAAGAATTTTTTTCGAATATAAAATTGTTGTATTTTGAAGACTTGGTAAAATTGTTTTTTTTTTTTGTTTCGAAAACCTATTAGCCTAATATATATTGTCAATGATTCATTTTTTTATAAAGATACACTATCTCAATGCAAATAATTAATGATTTTCTATATTTACAACTTGACATTGGAAAAAATAATGAATTTTTCCAAAAACTTCTTAGTAAGATATTGTCATTTTAATAACAAGCATATTATGAACAGTACACTGTCGTCTGAAAACGTCAGAAAGTATTTTAATACCTGTTGAATCTCTTCTATATGGATGTTGACTACACGACAAAATACAATTACAATATGTTTGCCATAAAAATGGAAAAATAAGTTTGTTAACATACTCAAGCGAGATCATAGGACCTTTCACATCATCGTATATAGTTGGTTATGATTGCTGTAATCATTATACTGTGAAAGTGTTCTTTTCTTTAACTGCTGTATTCTTAGTTTAGAACCACCGTACATTTTTCGTATATATACGTATATTTTAGAATACGGATTTTAATAAATAAAATTACTACATTCACAATAAACTACAATCATAGAGAACTTTGTAAGAAATTGAAAAATCAACTAAATACGATATTTCAAGAACAAAATCATTTGAGAAACTTTTTGTTACTTATTACAGTTGACTAAAAGAGTTTAGCTCCTATTGATCGAAATGTTTCTCAAATGAAAAACTGTTCAAGATTATTTCATTCAAATGTAATTGATTTGTCTATACATATGTTCTATAACAAATGTCTTTTATATTAATATAAATATTACGAAAGAATTAAACTAAAGAAATAATGAACTCAAATTTGTGAGAGAAAAACTATATGGCTCTTGTTTATGTGTGAAACTGCTTAATGAATAACTTACACGCTTTCTCTTACCTTCCAATACATTGGATATATGTTTTCTTTGTCACGTTGATCACTTGAATAAACATAAATTACAATGAGTTGCGTTAAATTGTGTACACATGGTATGATGATATGACTGATACTAATGGCTACAAATAAAATAAATTCTTGATCAACTGCCAAGTGTTGAATGTATGCTTCACAGCTTTTATGTTCGGTAAAAATCTTTAACGATTTTGTTAGATGGTTGCATTTCTCTTGATATTCTGAAGCATCAATATCAGGGTCCAGCCAAATAATTAATAAAGTATCTTCATTAGGGTCAATAGGAATATTATTAGTTTTCATATATTGATTATCGACAATACTTTCCATTGATATATGATCAGACTTGTTTGTACAATGATTTCGTAAACCAAAACAATTCCGAACAGAACGTTTTACAGTTCTTCGTTGGTTAACCATGCTTTTACTGGTTGTTGCTGATTTTTTATTGGATAAAAGTGGTTTTTCAGAGTAATCCATTGATATTCTCCTATGAATAAAAGAGCAATATTTTTTTTTCTTGTTATTATTGTTATTCAAAAATGACAGTTTATTATCGGTACCTGTTAGTATAGGATGATCGAACTTGATCTATTGCTTGTGGAGGATAATAATAGTAATAATCAAAGTATTCAATATCTCAATATATTCACTTTTAGAACAGAATAAAAACAATGAATATTTTATTTTTTAACAAATATTAGTTATTCAAAATATTTAATATATCTATTCAATATTCTATATTGATTGCAGCAGAGTTATAGCATCGAACTATGATCTGACATGCAACTAAAAATAATGCACGAGTTGCTTTTGTATAATGATAATAACATATAATTGTTCTTGTATGATAACTATTTATTTATATCTAGAAATAAAATGAATAATTTTTATTTAACAATTTTAAATATAAAACATATGCAATCGAAGGTTAATTTAGTCTCAAATATTTCACTTCTTTCATCGACTGTTATTATTATTTACGGATGCTACTTAAACCTAATTACAAATTTTCGTACAACGTATAAACACATTGAAAGAAATAAGGCAAAAAAATTAATATAAGTACATATGATTGACAAGAACAAGTTTCTTGTAATTCAAATTAAATTCCAGGACAATTAAGGAATTCGGTAACAATGAAACGGTTATCATAGGCAAATACTCGAGACAATTATTTTTCAAAAGTTGTAACTAAAAGTAGATTCATTGTGAAATTTGTCAGCATTGCGCTCTAATCTATTACATGAATAACAAATTAAGAAAAGAAACAGAACGTGTATTTTCTACAAAAAGAGAGTTATTTCTATAATTTCTCTTTTGTACTGACTAGTTGTAAGATTCGAAAAAAATAGAATAATCATTAAATAAATTTTTGTTCTTCGATACATTTCAATAGTTGTAAATATTATCAGTTCGCATTTTAACAATGATCAATTTTATGATATTCACAGAAAGTTTCACAAAAATCTTCAATGTTCAGATCAAATCATAAGTTTCTTATTCAATCTTTCTGTTCAAGAGTATTTCATAGTATGAACTCGTTCGATATTTACAATTCTTGTCAAGCTAAACTTAAACTATTACGAATCTACTCGTGATATGATTTTTACACGTTTTTCAGATAATAAAAATCTTCTAAAGTTACTGTACGAGGCGTTTCATAATTGTGATAATATATGATATTAGTAGAACGTTAGAAATCTACAGGATATATACATTATATCTTTCAAACATATATAAAGATCTAAAAAGCACATTATCAGCTGTTCTTGATTTTATTTAATAAATCAAATTTAATTAATAAAAAAAAATCTTTCTAAGACTATATGATTATTAAGCAAAAATTAATAAAAACATTATCCAAAGTTCGTGTACTTTCTAGTCGAAAAAAATCTCTCGTCTATAAACTTTTATGTCGGCTAATTTTATAGTATAATGATATTAGCCACACATATTTTTGAACGTGAGAATTTACATTAATTTCTCAAATTATTTAAGTGTCAAGGCCTTTGGACGTGGTAATATATTTTTGTTAGTAAGATGATTTTGCATAAAAAATTCAATTTTCAATCTTAGGTTCGACATATATGCAGATCGAAAGATATGAATTTTTCGAGTTTTCACAATTCGAAAACGAATAATATATTACGACTTTAAACTCAATTCGGCTTGCTTTTCAGTTGTACAAAGTTCAATATCGATATTTGAAACTCGAATTCGTCATGGAAATCTGTATTTCTATTATCAGACACAACAAATGCCCTGATACTCAAATTATGATGCAGTGAGTAATCAACTATGAAGCTATGTCTTTAAGGCATCTTGTAGCTTAGCGTGTTACCAAGTAGCTACTCTATAAGTCCAATATCTTCTCAACAATCAATAATAACTGTAGATCAGAATATGAGATTATTTTAACTCAGAATTATTTTCGCTCAATTGCTGAAGCTTTCTATCTACACGCACTGTTTTAAGTATGAAGGCAGTATGCAAACGGAAGGATGATCTGTGACCATCTACTATCAATTATCTGTCTCTACCCATTTTATTCCGATCGATTGACATCGAAGCTTGAACAACTTAAATAATATATACATGTTGATGTACTTCACACTACTTGACATAAATAATACATAGTCTTGAGTAAAGAGTATACTAAAAATATATTTCATAAGTAATGCATGTACAAACAAACAAAATTAAGCAAAAAAAGAAATTAAATCTAAACTCACACTACTCAATAAAATCATTGTATTTTTAGAAAATTCAGTCAATTATATAGAAATTAATATTCAATCCATTAATTTGAATTTTCTGTTCACTCCATCAAGTATTTCTTTGTGTTGTTGAAACATTTGTTTCATATTGATCATGTTCGTATTTTTTCATACAATCAATAACATCTTTCCAATAGTCATTAGCAATAGTTCGTTCGAACAATAAGCTGTCATATATTTCAAATGAGTTGTGTACTAGTAAATAAAAAATAAACAGAAATAAATAAACAACATTAGTTCTCTTTACCATATGGATCAAGAACTTGGTATTCATTGATCGTAGGAAAATAATTGCATCGATAACATTGTAAAAGCCTGGAGCTACTGTCTATAGAAAAAAAAGAATTACATAAACTTTTTATACTTTTCAACGTCATAATAACTTACTGCATCCTCTTGGTAGAACTTGAAAATTCATTGCAATTCGTCTGTTTTTACAAATTGTAAATGGAATCTTTGTACCTAAATGAGGTCTTAAATCAAAATAACTACAATATTGATCTCCTTCTAAAATAATTGGACTTCCAGCTTCGAATGAAAAGCGAATACCCAGATATTGGCCTTTATCAATTGGCATATTAAGATCCGTAAATGTTTGTATGCCAGTTTTTTGCATTATTCCTTCTAATGGTTTATATTCAGCGATATCGAATTCATTTGATATTATTCCAGCTTTCATTACGAATAGGCATATTTCAGGTTTTGAAACTGTTGGTGCAGTTGAAAAATGAATTGAAACTTTGTTAATAATGCCATCTAATTTAACTTGATCCTTACTATTGAACGAAATCATATTATGAATAGTCCAACATAATTTATTATTAATGACAAGTGGACCATATATGATAGCTAAATAAAATTTCAATTCAAATTTACATTCTAGTTTAATACAAAACAGATAAACTAACCATTTGACTTATTTTGAAAACAAGCAAGAACACGTTGTAAAATTAGTGACAAATATTGCAAAAGATTCAATGGTGGAATACATGTAATTTTCCTTGAATACTCATTGACAAGAAGAAATCGCTGATAGGCATAACTATTGTTAGCTTTATCTTTCATATCGTCGAATGACTTACTAGAAATAGAAATAAATAATATCAATATGAGAACAAAAAATTGATATTACTAATAGATTGAAGAAACGAGAGATAGACTCTCAATTGAATTCAAGTTTCATTATTATAATAATCCATCTTATCATGGTAGATTCGATTTGATCATGAGTAGAACAAAATAAAATTCTACTGTAATTATGAGTTTGAGGAAACATCAAAGGACTACCAAACTGAATTCATTGTGATAACATGAATTATTAGAATAATAACAAAACAATCGTTACTTTGTTTATTAGTTTTAGATTTCAAAATTAGATCAAAACCTTATAAAATCAGTAAAAAATTTTATTCTCAACATGCTTTCTCTGCTGATATATGATTTAATGGAGTTCACCAAGAAAAGTACTAGTGAGTAGATTTGATCTCGCAGATGACTCTATCCTTTATTTAATACGTCTAGAATTTTTCAATCGATTTTGAATGATTTCTACTTGTTTAAGTTATAGTCGTCAAGCATAAAATACAAGTCTTTGTAATATTAAACATCATTCAGACTTTTCTTTTATTTTTTGCAGAGACATGGATCTGTAGGTCTCGTTATTAATATTTTCTATGAGCCTTAGTAATTTTTTGAAAATTATTTCTTTTTCTTCTATTGGCAAAATACTTGGTTTCTAAGATTATAAATTATTAGAAATAAAAGAATCTATTTATTTTCTCTTGGAATTTAGAAAAAGATTTTTCAAAATTTTCATATATTACAATTTGTTTGGATGCACTTTGTTTTTCTTGTTAGAAAAAAAAAAAAACTTCTTCATAAAAAATAATCTTGCTAGTCATACTGTTGTGAAAAGATACGAAGTATAGAAATCGTTAAATGCTTACTTGAACAAAGCAACAAGAACATTTAAAAGAAGAAGATTTGCAATGCAAACAAAAATGATTGTTAAAATGAATGTCATATGTCCATAGGCATCGTTATCAGCTAGAATTCAAAATAAAAAATAAAGTGAATGACATATTGATTATTAAATTTTACAAAACTGTTACCGTTTAGCGTAATATCATCGACTGTTTTTTGATCTAGAATTTCAACTTGTCCATAAACTTTCCACATACCCCAATCGATAATGTTTCGAATATGTGTTGGAATCATTTTCAAAAATTCTAGATCGATCTTATCAATTTTTTTTTCCCTAAACACCGATGAATGATTGTTGGTTATGTTATTGGTAGAAAATTCATTTATTTCGATGGTCTTATTATTAGTTATATTGAAGTAATCAACATCAGACATGATTGTATCATTCTTTTCAATCTGATTTTTCGTCATCATCAATGAATATGATGTAATTGAATAGGCCAACAAGAATATGAGTATAAATATAGGAAAGATGAGTAAATCTTTTGCCTTGAAAGAAAAAATAATTATTTACATTTACTGAGTAAAGGATATAGTGAAAGGTTTTTTTCTAAAATATCCTTACAGCTTTAAATATCATTAACAATTTAGTACCACATCTTTTGGATGCCGTAAAAAGTTGTAAAATTCGGACATACCACAAACAATGAGTAATACATATGAGAATTCTATAAAACGATAAGAGATTTTGATAAATTTTTTATTTTGTGTGAAAAAAGAAAGTTACTTTGGAACAAAAAACCAATTTTTGTCAACTAAACGTGTAAACAAGCTAAAGAGATAACAGCACATCGCGATTATATCAATAAGATTCCAATAATTATCTGTGATGTATGTCTTAAAAATTCGACATATCTTTAATGTACTTCTTTGTTTGTAATAGCAGATGATCTAAATCATAAAGAGATATTAGGATAACATATACTATCTATTTTTATTTGTTTTTCTGATTCAATACTTGAAACAAAAATCACTATCAGCGTAGTTTCTACAGAATCAAAATAGGAAACATAATGGAGCAATTGTAATTCTATATTAGGACTCTCATTTATACGATTATTAATGTCAGAATCAACTAAATAGTATCTTGACATGTCTATCATAGACTATGACACACATGTAGATAGTTTTTAACTATTTGTGAATCACGTAATGTATAACGTAATACAATTATTTAAATAACTATTTATTTAGAAATATTAATCCGATGATCCAAAAAATCACCGAAAATAATATGTCGACATATTTATCATGGCATGCATGTTGGAACCCGATTTTCTTCCTACATATATCAATACTTATTTGCAAACGTGTTGTATAATTGCCACGCGCATATGTCGTTTTACTTTCTTTTCTTTCAAAGACTAACTGATTTAACATTCATACAAATCAAGATCATTTGAAAATGTGATTCGTAATGTATGACTAGAACTGTCAACAGTGGTTATGAAGCTTAGCTTAAATGTTGGAAAATTTTTGTTTTCTTCTCAGATGACAAACTTGAAATAGAATGATGATCGGAAAAAAGTCATTTTTCGAAGATTAATTGGATGGTTAATCAATTGTTTAACTGTATCTAATCTAGGAAAAAGTTTTTAGACTGTAATACTGACGACAACATATGTCTTCTTTTTCCTAGCTTGTGAAATCTGTCGATTCACTGTTTCATTCGTTACAAATTATTATTCCTGATGATAAATACAATTCGCTCGATGGTTAAAATAAAAAACAAGCCTTATTCTAGAAAATTGGCCTAAACTTCATGGATTCAAATTTTATTCAAGAAAAATATTATCACTATTTCGACTAAAAATATTCAACAATTTTATTATCCTCTCATTTGAAGTAAACTTTCATTTGCTTTCTAAACATCTTATTACTTGCAAAGTTAATTACTAATGAAATTATAATGACTAAAACATATCATATGAAAAAAAAAGATGATTAATCACATCATGAATATGTAATCAGTGTACAATATAAAAATTTTACTTGAAAGATTTCATCAGCGATAATACCGATCATGCAAATATGAACAAATATTTCTTTCCATGATATACCAAAAAAATTCCGTTTATTACCATTGCTAGGTCGATAATCATGAAGAAGAACAGTACTGAACAAGAATAGAAACATAATTGTAAATAACTAAAACAAAAAATAGATAGTAATCATTATAAAAATGGCTAAAATCTAAACAGACTCATCAATATATTCCTACATACTTACAATATTTAATCGAAATCGCACGCATGGTGATCTAAAAAATTCAAAACCAGGACCAGGTAAACATATGGGATTTATTAGACATGTCTAAATTAGCAAATATAGACATCAAATGACAACTGATTTATTATTTGAACATACATGTTTTACTTACCTGTAGAGCACGAATACATATTGACGAATTTGTATCACCTATGATAGCACCGCTCCATTGTCTGTCAAGATATTTTTGTACACATTTTGTTCCCAAAAACGACTGACTACCAATTTCTTCGGCCAATTCTAATGGACTATAATCAAAATAGACTTCAGAATGTGATGTCAATATTTGAACGGCTAAATCTTCATGTATATTAAAACATCGATTCATTATTATTGTTGCATGTTCATCGAATATTCTAAATAAAACATTTCAAATATATATGATATTATAAATTGTCAAAAAGAAAAAAATATATATTATATACTTCTTTCGATTTCGATAAACAAGTTTTTTTTCAAAATTTTTTTCAGATTCAGCAGCAATTTGATAAATTTTACTAGCTAAAAGTGATGCTACGATTGTATTCTAGAATGATATAAGATCGATCGATTGATGAAGTCCTTTGAATTTTATCGAATTATATTTAAACAATTTTTAATTACTTCTGTTTGAGAACACAAAAATGTTGTCATATGGAAACGATCCATTAATATTGTCCAAAGTAATAGATCTCGAATAAAACCTACAGTATTCAAATCATTTTTTATCTATTTATTTTGTACAGATAATCACAAACTAGATGTGGGCTGTATTTTGTAAGTGAATCTAATAGAATGATTTTCTTGTCGTGCAAACGTAATCGCATTTCTGGTTAAGTGTGCATTATTGACAGAATTCATATCAACATGATATGAGACATTGCCCTGAACTCGATATAGTTGACCGGTCTGTTGATCAAAACCAATAGCAAGATATTGACCTTTGTCTAAGTAAATAGTCGAGTCTGCTATCGAGAAAAAGTAATCAATAGATACAGGCTCGCCATTAGGTTTGTTGTTCCGAGTTTTACGAATAGATTGTATTGGTGTTGAATGTCGATAGATGATATTGAATGCATTTGTCTCTTCTGCTGTCGATATAATGTATAAATGGATTACAGGATTTTCTGGTGGCTCTGGTAGAGGAAAAGTGATGGATACTTCGATGACATAACCATTAGATTGAACAGCATGGTTCAAAGAGAATATCACCGTATCATTCATTATTTGTTTCATTGCATCAAACTGACCAATGATGCCATAATTATGACCTATTGAAAATAAAAATTGAGTCACTGGTATAAAAAAAGCCTTCAAAAAAATCTGTGTTTATTATGTTGGTTAGAGTTTGTCATAAGACCAAAGGCACATCCATGATGTAGTATCTTCCCCTGTTAGTGACATAAATTAAGGAACTATATAACGCCAACAAAAGATGAATATTTTCGACTCAATGGTTTCAAGTCGATTCTAAATCCAAAGATAAATTGAAAATCCAAAGCAGCATCTCGATATGAAAGAAAAGACAGATTTTGTATTCCCGGGATTCTCATAGGATTTTCCGGATTTTCTTTGGATCCCATGGATTCCCCTCGGATACTGGCTACATTTTTAGCATGATAAACTGTCTTATTATACTTCAATACCTTCATCTTAGTCTTAGAGACTTAGGCTAACTGGATTTTCTTCATGACAGAAAGTGAGAAATGCAAAATTGAAAAACATGTGCAGTGAATACACCATACAGTGAAAATTAGATTTTCAAAATACTGAAAATGAAATAACACTTCTTCTTCCTAAGGTTACATCCATAGAAGCAAATCAAAAGATGTACAGTGTGTATGTGTGTGTTAACTAGAAAGCTTTGGTGTTCTGCATGTTTTAGGCTATGATTTTTGCTGTTTTCTTATAAAATTTCTCAGCTTTATTTTAATTGTCTCGGACAGCCACTCAAGTAAATTATTAAACGCACAGCAAGTATCCTCCGTGTCTAATTTTCCTTATTTATAGTAGACAACATCCCCATGTCCTCGTTTAGGATGGATTGCATACATTCTTCACATGGCTCAGCAGGTTCTCTTCAACAAACTGAGTTTACGATCACTGAAGGAATGAAAGTATATGATGTTTTTATAAGGCAAAGCGTATATTGGCAGCATTTAATGCATTTTTATAGTATTTTCATAAAATTTTCTTAGTACTTTCACGACCCTATGGAGTTTCTAGGGATTTGGAATCTTGAGATCCGCCTTTTCGCCCTTGAATGGGAGAATTTTTCTTAAATAATTTCGCTCCAGTACCTTCAAAATTAAAAGTCTACAACAAATTCTTCTAGTCTACGAATCGAACCAGCTATACTTATCGATGAAAACCGTTCAATGTTTTCTTTCAATTTGTGAATTTAATACTAACAATTATTCGCGAAAAACTTCTGTAAGTTAGTACAAATTCAAGCATTGAAGTGCAAAACAAACCTTGAGCATTGGAATAAAATTTGATCGTATTTGGTTTAAAACAAGTTGCATAGTACATCTGGCGAATATCTCCTTTTTTATCGACAATGGGTAGCATTGCTGATCGATCATTTTCATTCTAGCGTACATGGAAACTCATCAAAAATAGTCTTAATCGAAATAAAACTTGTCTCACCAAATTTTTATATAAACCATCAGCAGTAATTATTCGACGCAATCGTTCGAATGATCTACTATCTTCAATGAATAATTCAATGAAACGTACATCATTTTGGTGCATTGTAAACATTAATGGCTTATCTAATTCTAAGAATGGCCAATTCATAGTACTTCGATGTTCGTATATATATTGTTTTACTCGTTCATATTTTTTACATGCGATAGCCAATATGAGATTGCTTGCTCTCTTTTCCCATGGATTTTCGGCTATTTGAACAGCTATTTTATGAAATATATGAAATGATATGCAAAATAAAATGTTTTGATAAATATTAACTCACCATGATGATGTGCATTCAATATGACATCATCAAGTTGCGATTCTGGCTCATTTTCAGACAATGCAAATGAATTCAATAAAAAATAACCTTCTCTTGATTTCATCATTTCCGTGAATTGTCTTGTAATTCTAAAAAAATTTTTGTAAGATAGTTTATATGAGCAGATAAAAATTCATTGTTCTTGAAACGAGAATAAACTTTCAGAATTTCTCTTGTTTTTTTCTACTCTAAGCCTTATCTACTAGATAAATGTGTATCGATTTCAACATAAATTAGTAGATTTTTGTTATCAATTACCCGTTTAATGTTTCTTGATTTGGGCCAAAAGTTTCTTTTAAGTGACTAAAAACGAGTAGTTACAGTTAGAAGATTTTAGATACAAAAATAAACATTAAATTTGACGTACTAATCATTAAATTGAGGTTGTTGTCTGGCATTCTCGTATTCATCTTCCGATCGAATTTGATTTTCACCATATAAGTATCGATATTCGTGAATAATCAAATCTGCTACACCACTAGTACCCTAAAATATTTAAATGACGAAAGTATCAAATTCGATCACACACATATAAAATTACAGTAATAGCAATGACTGGTATTTTTCGTCTAATTGCTGTGCAGACACTTGTAATCGATGAAATATTGCCACCGATGAGAATTTGAACGATTGGAATGACATAAGCTATTTAAAAACAAATATTTACTATAAATGTATTTTATTGTCGAAGATTAACGTTCTTGATCTATTCAAAGATCTATCTATAGCATAGTCTATTTCTTAACAATATAATACAGATGTTAACTATCACTTTTTCCTCAAACAAAATGATTTTTTCAGCAAAGATAGAATAAAAAGGAAGATCATTAATCTCTGTAATTTGGTGGTCAGAACTATATAAAAAGATCCGTTAAATAAAAACTAGAGCAACGAGAAGTACGAGTAACATAAATTAGTAAATACTTTCGAACGATTTACTGATCGGATGGTCGTTAATTCGGACATAGATTTGAAATGAGAAAGTAAAAGAAAAGAGTGCACCTTATGCTGAACTAGTTCACCGACGTTTTATCGGCGGTTTTTTGTTCACTTTGAATCCCATGCGTAATCACATAAAAATGCAGACCATATTTTGTTCTCGATGTTTCAATTAAGAGTGCCTCAAATACGTTACTCGATGTACAAAAATAAGAAGTAAATTTAAAAAAAGGTAAATTATTCAAAACTTTTTATCAAATTTAATTTTTGAATAGCAAGGAAGAGAAAATAGATTTTAGATTCGATTTTTTTCATGGTATTTTCATACACTATTTCAACTATTTTAGTGTCTGTAAGGCGTTCGATCTAGTCGAACGACAATTTTTTAAATTGACTTAAGTCTTCGATTGATGAAGAACAAATGCTGAAAAATTTCTAGACTTTTTTTTATTGTATTTCGATTTATTTGTCAAACATCTTACGTTGTCCGTATTTTGTATTTATTTGTAAATTTTCTTCAAATTCTGTTCGTAGTCTTACGAGCCTATTGATGTCATCTTGAGGATCGACAGAATGGGGATCAACATTAAACATAAGAAAATGAGTATGATTATGATCCAACGGAAAAGTTTTTGGTATTTCTTCGACTGGTAGTTGCCATGTGCGATAAAGTCGTTCACGCTTCTAAACAAAAATAATTTGCAGTGTTATTGACAGAATAAAACTACTCAATGTTATTTCACAATACTGGCTAGCTCAGAATGAATGCGACGATTCATAATAATGATATAAAAATGTTTTAAATTTTCGTTTCCAGATTTGAAATTTTCTTTCAAAATATTCATCGTTCGAATTTCGAATAGAGTCATGCATCATAAGAACTTACACTGAATACATTTTGCAAAAAAAAGTGTTACTCTTCAAGATTTTTGTAAAACCAGTAAGAGTAAATTATCTCTTCGAACGTATTTAGTTCTCACTATTTTCTATGTTAAGAATTTCAGTTCGATGGAAATAGCATGAAAGTAAAAGAACCTCCCCAGTAAGCAAAGACGTGTCAAATAGAATAGTTGTGACACTGATAATTTATAATTCATGCTCAAAAACGGTTTACCAAATTTGGTATTGTAGTATGCCATTGTGCCAGTTGACTTTTATCTAAACATAGATATACATATATATATATCAGAACAATGCACATTATGTAAAATAAAGGTAAAAACATACATGCTATAGAGTTCCAGTTGACAATTCCAATACATCGAATATTCTGTACAGCTTTTATGTTCTTATAACGAAGTTGATCAAATGTTAGACCTACTTCTTTTGCTACACCCAAATGTAAACCATTAGTGATTATCCAAGCATCTTCAATCAGAAAAAAATGTTGATATACAATTTGAATATTATCTATAAACAATAATCATATACTCGTGTTTAACGCTGCCGATATAATTCCTTGTTGAAACAATTTGCGTGTTTCAGTTGACACATTTTGAAAATATTCTTCTCCGCCCACCATTGATAGAATCAACTCTGGTGGCGACTGTTCATATATCTTGGGCAAAAAGTCATCAAATTCAATGTTTTCACTCGACAAATTCATATCACCATCGGCAACATTACGATGGTTTCCATCTGGAATTACAGCTAGATATTCCTCGCATTCGAATCGAACGTACTATAAGAACATAGAACATATAGAATTTAGAAAAGTTTTCAGTATAATCCCTATGGGATTAAACCGTGAAATATAACGCGGGCACTATAATCACATTTTAAGACTTTGTCTACATTAATAATGGTTCGTGGCATCATCGAAAACATAGTAGACTTTGCAAATTTTCAAGTTAAACTATTTCTCATGAGTGAGCAGCTATGAGAAAGTATCGTTACCTCTACAAAATCTGTCGACGATAATTACATTCGAAACGTTTCTTCTCCTTCTCTTACAGTTCTAATAATTTGAGAGCATTGTTAGTATAAAACTTATCATCTCTAACTTATATTATTATTGCATTCACTTTAAACATGAGTTGTAGGTGTGGATGTGAGTGTTTCTTTGTTTGTTACTCACTCACACTCTCAGAGCGTTCAAATGTTGTTCGTCGAACCGTGATAATTCTGGAAAAGAAACAAATCTGAGAATTCAACTTTGTGTCAATCGAAAGATAGCGATTCTTTTTTGTTTCATATAAGGAGTCAAAACTGGATAGGAAATGCTCTCAACATTTTCATAAAGGATGAATATGATTAACTAACTACTTCATCAAAAACATAATCTATTGAATCTTAATTTTTATCTAAAAAAGAACATTTTTACAAAGCAGACTTACGCATGATTTGCGATGATTATTTGCAAAATGTATCATACCATAATCGTTAGTTAAAGTGAATTTAGACTTTAGCAGTCGTCTACAAATAGTATATCATCGATATAAAGATTTCAACAATAACATTTTTAGAAAAAGTAATGATTAAGAATGGCTATATCGAAAACAAACTAATTATATACATACAGATCGTTTTCTTCCATTAGTTCACGTCGATTTTGTATTTGCTAAAAAGAAAACCAAAAATACTGCGTCATGATTTATCGAATGTGATATACCTGATTGGTCATTCTTGTGATTAAATCGGTTACGAACATCTAATCAATAGTTTTCGATTATTAATCTACAAAAAAAAAGCTCATATGCACACTCAGATATTCTTGGTTATTACTGTTTACTATTTTTGTTCCTTTAAATGGTAAAAAACAAATGTGTTAGGAAGTTTCTGGTGTTAGGTACTAGTATTGCATCATATGTAACAGAATAAAAATATTAAATTATGTCTATCTCACAACATGAACACCTTCTACTCGAGGTCTACGAAATAATGTGAAGCCCGAAAATATCTGAAATGAATCCAAGTTTTATGAAATCATCTGACTCTATACTTGAATTAAGACTATGCCAAGAAAATGGTCATTCTGAAAACTAGGAATCTTCATTTTCACATGTATGGACTGCTTAGATCTCGTTCTCAAAGTATAAAGTTCATGATATCAATATAAATAGAGCAATAAGAAATAATAATGAATATTTCAAATTCTTTCATATATAAAAAAAACAAAACGAGATTATCATTGTCGATGAATCTGTAGTAATTTTGTATCTTATATCGATTGTACCAATATTTATTCACTGTCAGATCTGTTCAATTATCAATTACTCAAATGATTGTGAGTATGTCTTCTGTCTGAATATATAGACTTGCTTTTGTGAAACACGACTATTAGTGAATATGGAAACATATAGATAGAATATGGGAACCTTTCTATACACGTATCAGGTTGCTTCACAATAATGCTATGCATGTCGACTTATCCGCCAAAATCTTTCTTTAAACTTGTAATCTCATAGAATATTAGACTAAAGCCTTTTTTAAAATTATTCAAGAAACTAGCAATAAACGTCAACTCGACTGATTTCGATGATGGTTGAGAAAGAACTACTATTATGCTGTATACGCATTTTTCAGCCTTGAATTAGTAAAATATTAATATTTGACTGCTGTGAATATGATGGGCGAGGACGGAGAGCCCTTACCATCGGCAACTACATCCAATCCAAGAATTCGAAAACGACTACAACTAAGTATGTAGTCATTGAAGAATATATCTCATGAAACGTGTAGGTAGACAATTATTCAATAATTCTCTTTCTATGCAATATTCTACTAATATTGCCTCATGATTCTTATTGTTTATTTACTTTCCTCTCGTTATTTATTTCTCAAGGTCTTTCTTTCTTTAAGTGATAGTGCTTGGCTGACGTCCTCTTTCATATATACACACATTCGATAATTGCTTTTTCGTACATTCTTCATGAAACCTCTTATGTATACTACTTCATGATTCAGTCAATTTCATTTCATGTTCTTCTTATATTTCTTTAGTCGGCGTTTTTCTTTTACTCTAAATAACACGTATTGCATTGTATTTTGTGTTTTCCTATCAATATTTATTTTGATCTTTGTTTTATGCAAAAAATAACTGTGTAAGAAATTCATAATCATACATCATATAAATTCTCGAATGCTAAAAATTACTATTACTTTTGTCATTAATCGTACCATAGCTTG